TTATTTGAACTTCTATATTCTGTTTATTTGTTAAATAATATAGTGTTTTAACAAAATCTTTATGAAGACTTTTATAAGTTTCAGTAGAAAATCCATTTAAAAAACCATATTTTCTAATTAAATCAATAGTATGATATATTCATGAATGTAAATTTGGATACTTGAATTCTGAATAGTTTTAAAAAATAGTAATAAATTGTTGGGCCCAATCTATTATTAAAATCTAAATAGAATAAATTTTATTTTTTATAAATATTTTAGATATATTCGAAATATTGTGAAATATTTTAAATTAATTCAAAAATTTGTGAAAAGAGTATTGATATTTCTCACTGCCAGTGATTATCACTGGAGGTGATTATCACTAGCAACATATTACTAATTTAATCAAATTAGAATTGGCTCTATCGCTATTAGTATTGATTATCGATTATCTTTATGCACTAATTATGCAATAATGATAAAACATGCATGTATTGATACATAAATTGATTTTTTAAAAAAAAACTAAACAGCTTTAAGTGCCAATCTTCTTGAGTAGGACTTGGCTCTAAGATGACTAATCACCTTAATGACTTGTTGATTGGCACTTAGGTGTTTACTCAAATGATTATTTTTTTCAAAGTGATGAGTGTTTTTTCAGTCTTTACCTGATGTTCCTAGTCAAGATTTTCTGGTCATGATAGATTCAATATTTCAATATAAGGGGCCCACTAATATCAACCAATCAAAATAATAATCAGTCTGATGAAGCAAATGCAAGAAATGCACTAATAAATAAACTTGATCACATGGGTACTTAGCCTGTATAAGTAACATCGAATAAACAAGAATGTAAACAACTCGTACAATAAATAAAACAAAAAAAAAAAAAAATGAAACAACATATCTTTTCAGAAGCAGAAGTATACTTGAGCAGTGAAAGTATAGGCAGTGAAATAAGCGAAAGTTAAGATTTTTTGACACCTGGGTTTGAAATTGAAGAGCTAGAGGATGAAAGTGCTGAAGAAAATGATGAGGAAAGTGAGAGGTCTGAGATGAATTATGTGGCATTTAAACTTGAAATTGGTAATAAATTTGAAGACTGGGATTTAGCCGAAAGACAGGTTCAGAATCATGCGATGGAAGCTGAGTTTGGAATCATGAAACAATAGCTTGAGAAAAACAAACATGATAAGATTGTATGTGAACATATTTGTGTAGGAATTCAGAAAAGTATTGTGCAAAAAAAAAGGCTGATACAGAAAATGTTCGAGAATGTGAAAATATAAAGCTGAATTGTTTGTGAAAAGCCAACCTTAATCTTGCAGATGGTATTGTGTGCATTACTTCTGTATGCAAAGAACACAACCATCCTTTACTCAATAACATACAAAATACCATACCTAAACACCATTAACTTACTTCAGATATGCTTAAGGAAGTTGAATTTCTTGTGAATATTGGTTGTGGAGCAAGCATAATTATTTGTGGGCTACAGAAGTGTTTTCCTAATGCAATAATCTACCCTAAAAATGTTTATCATGCTATTAATATGTTTAAGTGTAGTAATAAGGTTTTAAGAACTGATGCATCTGAAACATATGATAAGTTAATGCAGCTTCAGTATAAAGAAAATGGTTGGTTTGTTGAAGTAAGAATAGAGGATAAGGATAACCACCTTATGGGTCTGTTTTGGATAAGGCCATCTCAAATTGAATTGTGGCATAAGTACTATAACATTGCAATCAATGACAATACAGCACAAACAAACAAGTATCGTATGTACCTGTCACTCACAATTATTGTTGACAATCATGCTCGTTCTTGGTTGGCTGCGATGGCTATTACTTCAGATGAAACAAAAGAAACATATCAGTGGGTCCTTAGGTGTTTATTATGTGCCACTAATGGTCTTGCACCTTGGGTGTTGTATACAGATGCAGACCCTGCAATGATTGCAGCTGTGCATGAAACACTCCCTGAAACAAAGCACAATTACTGTGTTTGGCATATTTGTAAAAATTTAGAAAAAAATTTAAAAGAAAAGTTGCATCATAAATACAGAGATTTTGTGAAAGTATGGAATAAATGCAGAAACAGTCTTTCTGAGAGTGAATTTTGGAAACAATGGCATAATCTCCTAAATGATTATTCAGCAGCACAGAAGTATCTGAATCGTACATTTGAAGCTGATGTGACTAGTTGGGCATTATGCTTTACACATCGATCATTTAATGCTGGAATCCAGTCAATCTAGAGGGTTGAAAGTTATAATGCACTAATAAAACAAACAATAAAGAGCACCACAACGTTATTTGAACTCGATACACAAATTCAGCTGCAACTTGATAGGGAAGAACAGTTTGAGCGGCAAGAGGAGCAAAGTAATAAAAATCTGACTGTTGGTCTGCTGAATATTACTGACAGATACTTCAAAAAAATTGATATCATGATTAAGAAGTATTTAACCCCACGAGTTTTGAAAATGCAATGCTGTCAGATGAGTGAAAGTTTGCTTTATTGTACTAGCAAAGTTGAAAATTGGAATGATTTACTTGACTATAGGGTATGTTGTTTTTGATGCAGTTTACTTCATAATTACTTCAAAGACATCATAGTTTATATACAAACAAGCTCATTTTATAGATATTTTTTTCACAGACATCTTATTTCACAAACTGCTTATTTTATAAACATTATTGTCATTAGAATTAGAGTTATTGGGGTTAGAACTTAATTTAGAATTAGGGTTAGGGTAAAATGAGCTGTCTGTAAAATAAGTTGTTTACAAAATAAGCTTTTCTAGTGAATTAATTTGTAAGTTATGATAACTTTGAAGTAATTGTTAGTAAAATAATATGGACCTATTATTTTTTAATCTTTAAGAAGTTAAATTACTCTAATACAATAATATACATATTAGGAAAATGTCACTAATAATAATGAGTTAGAAGAAAATGCTGAAGGTTATGAATCTGAATTGGAAGAGGATGCTGATAATAGTAAATTAGAGAAACAAAACTATAAACGAAATAATGCTGCTAAGTTCGAGTTTGCTGAAGATGATTATGAGTCAGCTTTGCTGAACTTAAATTCCTTGATTGCATATCTTGATCATGCCAATGTTCATGAAGTTTGGTGTGTTACAACTATCGAAAAAATAAGAAACACTTCATAGTATTGTATAGCAATGCCAATTACTTGTGTACATGTATGTTGCTCATAACAAGAGGGTTGGTATGTCATCATTTTTTTGCAGTTATGTTCAACTCGAACATTGCTATGTTTCATGTTGGCCTCATCCCAGCTCAATAGTATATTAATATATTATCCAACACCCAAGAAGAGGTTGCAATCTTAATTTGTAGTGAGCAATATACATCAGATAGAGAATTAGTATATGAACACCAAATAGCAACGAATTTTAACATTTTAAATAAAATTCGTTGTACACAGATGTTCTCAGAAGCAGTTAAAAAAAATATAGCAAGTAAAGTAAAGTATAGTCAGAGCTTTGGATATGCAAAGAGAGCAATTAATTTGGCTCTTCAAATGGGTTGTAAAGATGAAATAAATCAAATATTGCAACATTGGATTAAAGAAAAAGAAAAGAAAATCTGTGATGAGCAACTAGAAGATGAACTAGAATTTAGTAAAGAAAACCGACCATGTATTAGCAATCCTTATCAAACACGTATAAAAGGTGCCCAAAAGAAACACAAGAACATATTAAATGATGTTACTAAAGATCACAAAAAAATAATTCAGCAACAAAACAATAAATCAATTAGGACTTCCAGAAGTAATGTTATAGAATCACAAAGTAAGGCTTCTAGTTTTTACCATGGAAAAAAATATATGTGTAGTTATTACAAAGGTATCGGGCATAATTCTCATAGCTGTGAACTAAAAAAAAAAGTTAGCTAAACAACAAGTAGCTTTTTTGTTATAATGTAAAGTGATCTTTTTATTAATATATTAGCTTTTAAGAGACACTTAATGCATGATATGGCTATACAAATTTTTTTTTAATAAAAATTAAAGCTGTTAGTTTGAGATTAAGAATTAAAGAAATATTATAGCCTTTTTGATATTTTTATTAGTGATATCTTTTCAATATTATGATTTTTTTAGATTATGTTATGTTAACCTTATACTGAATGTTTGTATTATATATATTAAACTTACATGTTAGTAGAATATTGTCAGTAAGTAGTTTATTAGTCCATTTCATTTTTTTGTTTTATTAAAATTCATGCTTTTTAATTGGTCAATAAGTATTAACCAGTAATATAAATGCTATAATGCAAGTAAAGTATATGTAACTTAGTCGAATAAATTGCAGAATCAGTATAATTAATAGTTTGCAGTTTCTTGATATTAGCATTATAAAAAAATGATTTATATAACACTTGATTTTTTGAAAGAATGGATTTTTGGCTTGTACAAAACTTCTACTTATATGTCTAAAGCTATATGAGTGTTGCTAAGAGAAAACCAAACTTTTTTGGCTCACAAGTTTATAATTTATCAAACTAAGACATCAGATTTTATAGCGATTAGGTCTAATATAATATTATAAATCAGAAGTCTGGTTTTTTCTTAGAGATACTCATATAGAGCTCAGTTCAAAATTTAAACTCTGAATTACTTAACTATTTAAAATTTTATTACCAGGTCACAAACTGGGTCAAATCAAATAACAAAGATGATTCAGTTGACCTGGTTATTTATAGATAACAACTAAGAAACAAGAGAAAGCATCGATGTTACATAACTGATCTTGCACACTAGGTAAAAGATCAGTTATGTAATATCAACATTTCCTCTTGTTCTACTAAGGTTACAAATAGCAAATGCACTTTTTGCTTGATAAAGATTTTTAGCATTTCTAATATAGTAATGAATAGTACGTAATATGCTTAAGCAACTCTTTGCGGTTATGTGATTAAATTAACTAATATTATTTGTTAAGTACTTTTATGTAATATAAATGTATTACATATTTAAATTTTTTATTTTTTTTAGTAGTTTATATATTTTAGTTTATATACATATCATATTATTTTAATTATAATTTATGTTAATTTATCTCATGATCTAATTGGTTAATTTTTGTTAGTGATAATCACCACTAGTAATAATCACCACCGGTGATAATCACTACTGGTGATAATCATCACCAGTGATAATCACCACCGAAGATAATCACCACTGGTGATAATCACTAGTGGTGAGAAATAGCAATACTCAAATAATTTAGCATATTTTACATATATTCGAGATATTTCGATTTAATTCAAAAAATGTATTTTTATGATATATTAAAAATATTGAAAAATTTTCTAATTTCAATAAAAATTTTAATAATTACCTTAAAATTTTTCAAATCATTATCATTAAATTCTTCATTTTAACTCATAATATACATATTATTTCAGTCTTCATAAACTTTTAATAATTTTTTGTTTAATGTTTTATTATTGATTAGGTTATCCAAAACAAATATCATAACCTTTATAAGACTATGTTATTCATTAGCTGTAAATCTAGCAATTGATTGAATTCTATGCTTAAATATTTTAAGTTCCAGATATTTTAGAATATCTGCTAATCTTTTATCTATTTTATTCATTATCGAAGTACTATATAGATTTTTTAAAAGATTGCAAGTAAATGTGATTTGATAATTAAATAATCCCAAATCTAAATGATGCATTCTATCAATTACTGTAGC